AGCGAAACAAGCCAAACAGAGAACAAGTATCATATGATCACAGTTATTTATGGAATATAATGAACATAACAGTCTGAGGAATGGGGTAGTCCCAGAGACGTGGAAGTAGGGTACAGACTGAGAATCCCCAGAAGAGGGGAACTGGGGGAGAGATAAACCACAGAACTTATATGCACGTATGCATGAACAATGGACATGGACAACAAAGCTGGGGACAGGGCGCGGAGGGAGAAGGAGGGGGGAATCAGTGGGGGGAAAAAGAGAAACATCTGTAACAAAAATAAATTAAATAATTTAAAAAAGAAAGAAAGAAAATAAAATACCTAGGTCTGGTAGGTAAACTTCAGATGGTCGATGCTTAATAAATGGGTACTAAATACATTGGTAAAGTTTATTAAAATCCTTACAACTTTGTCCTCCTGAGGAAGAAAACATTGAAGAAAGAAAATTTTCTGTCTCAAGGTCTAGCTGTGTCAGTTTGTGTGTGTGCTCTTCCTCCTGGTTCCCTCCCTCCTCAGACAGATTTTTTTAAAAAGCAAAATACTCAGCCCTGGCCAGGTAGCTCAGTTGGTTAGAGAGTCATCCTGATATGCCAAGGTTGCAGGTTGGATCCCTGGTCAGGGCACATACAAGAGTCAACCAATGAATGCATAGATAGGTAAAATAACAAATCAGCGTGTGTTCTCTCTCTCTCTCTCTCTCTCTCTCTCTCCCTCCCTCCCTCCAAAGAACAATAAATTTTTTTTAAAATACTCTGTATTTAGACATAATTCCATTATTCTTATGACCAATGATTTGCAAGTAGCTTCTACCTCTTTTCCTCAGGCTCATAGCAATAGCCACAAAAGACATAAAAGCATAATTAAGATGTCTAGCATCTTTACTGGAATAAGGCCCTAACTCTTCCTAGTCACGCCTTTCACTACTGTGTCACCTTCCAGTCCACATTTTTTAATAGAATAGAGTATAAATTATAAGAGGTAAAAGCCACCTACAGAAGTCAAATTTCATTGGCTGGTTTGTTGGGTTCTAGCGCATTAGGCTCAAACTACCTAAACAAAGCTTATTTGGACCTCCCCAGTGCAACCACCACTAATCTCTGCAGCCTCGTCTCTCACTTCAGTTCTGCCAACTTCTCCACATACACTATACTATACACACTATACTACTGTACATGCTGTTCCCCCTAAGAGGAACATACTATTTATAAAAACTGTATCTTGCAATAACAAATTAATTTGGGATCTTTCAAAGAATATTCCATTCATGTTTAAGATATGTTGTATTTCTAAAGAGCATGGTTCTACTGAGAAGTTAAACTGCCTGAACTTCCTGAACAAAAGCAATTTTTGGAACTCCAAAAGTTATAGTTTCTAAGTATACTGCAGAATGCTGTGATAATTATAGTTATGTGTTTAGAGAAATGAATACTGTTTTTAATAAATGGCAAAATAACTGTGACTTAGTGATCACTCAAATCTAAGAATGCTTCTCATTTTTTAATTTTGGTTAATCCTTACCCAATGATATTTTTCCATTGATTTTTTTAGCTAGAGTGGAAGGGTGAGAGAGAGAGAGAGAGAAAGAAAATCGATGCAAGAGAGACACATCAATTGGTTGCCTCCCTCACAACCCCAACCAGGGTCAGGAATCAAACCTTCAATCCCAGGTACATGCCCTTACCGGGGATCAAACCCACGACCCATTGGTCTGCAGGCCAATGCTCTAACCGCTAAGCCAAACCAGCCAGGGCTAAGAATGCTTTTTAGTTTTTAAAATTATTATAAGCATAAATGTAAAGAAGTTCACCCAGAAAACTAATAAAACCCTAATGAAATAAAATATAAAAAGCCATCAATTAGTTTATATTTTATTGATAACACTTAATAGTCTCCATATTTCTAGGATTGTATTGTAATCAATTAAAACAAATAAAATGCACAGCATGTCAACAGAGAAAAGAGCTTTTAAAAGGTAGAAAATTTTACTAGAAAAAGCAAAGTGCAGAAATGTTGGCATGAATCATAACCCTAAAATATTACATAAATGTAACTGAGAATGAGCTAAAATCCAGCAAGTCATTTTGTTTCTATATCTCTCTCCCTTCCCCTCTCTCTTAAAAAAAAAAAAAAAAAAAAAAAATCAATAAAATATATTAAAAATTAGATCAGGTTAGGGGGTATGGAAGAATGAAAATGCAGAGCAAAGAGGCATGAAAATACTCTGTATAATACTATAATGGTGGACATATATTAGAAATTTATCCAAATTTAAAATATGCACAACACCAAGAGTTAACCCTAATGTAAACTATGGGCTTTGAGCAATAACGATGTGTCAATGTAGTTCATCAACTGTAATAAATGCGCCACTCTGGTGGGGAATGTTGATAATAAGGAAATAATACATGGGTGGGAGCAAGGGGTATATGGGAAAGTCAATTCAATTTTGCTGTAAATCTAAAACTGATCTTAAAAAATGAAGTCTACTAAAGAGGGGAAGCATATCAGAAAATTTATAAATCTTTGCTAAACATAAGAGACTAATTTTTTTAAGTATATACAGCACTTATAATTAGCCGTTTTAAATAGACTAAAAACTACATGGTAAGGCTAGCATGATAATCTAGCCCTGGATTTATATTTGAAACACTTTTCTTTCAGCATTTTTTAGTGTTATCTCCTAGCACCTCAGACAACGTTTAAATAAACTATATTAAACACCCCTTCTGTTCATATATATAGTCCCTTCTAAACACAAATTATTCATCCTCCTCAAAAGTCTATTGAGTGTCCACTATACATAGTACACTTAGAAAATATAAAAAGTTCCTTGCACTCAAAATGCCTTCTTCTGAGGTCTTACAATCCAGCCCTGGGAAAAGGTCAAAATGTCCAAAGTAGGGTACTCCAAGCCCTCAGGTGGTACAGACCTTCAACTAGTCTGCCCTATTCCCTTTCTTGGAAAGCTTTTCTCCTGGCTAGATGTTCTCAGCTTTCAAATTTCAATATAAATTCTGTCTCCTCATCTCCTCAGAAATCTTTCCTGACATCCTCGGGCTATTTTCTATCATAGCAACCCATTCCTTTTCTTTTTTGTTGTTGTTAATCCTCACTCAAAGATAGTTTTCTTGTTTACTGGTTTATTATCCATGTACAAAAATAGACTGAATACTCCATATGGACACAGACTCGACAGTATTACCAGGGATTAGCAAAGCACTCAATAAACATTAGTTAAAGAAATGCATAGGTCTGGTACTCAGGCGAAAAGTATGGGCTAGAGCAGCAATTTTCAACTGGTGTGCCACAAGAATTTTTCAAACATGCAATGTCTGACTCTTTAGTCAGTGGCACTGAGCTCTTTTCCCCTAGACTGTCAAATAAAAAAATGACAGCCAACACAACAATAGCCATCCAGTGTTAATGAATCAAAATTATACCTTTTTGTTAGATAGGCAAAAATATATTTTTTGGTGTGCCACAGAATTTTAGTAATTAGTTTATGTGGGCTATCAGATGGAAAAGGTTGAAAATCGCTGGGATAGAGATATTGGAATGGAGGTAATAACTTACCGGTGAAAACTGGTAAGATCACCTGTAGGAAGTGTGTGGGGTTAGAAGGGAAGAGAATCTAGAATCAAGATATGAAGCAGCCCAACATTTAGAGTTTGAGTAGAACAGGCAGAGAAGTCAGATAAACCGAAGGGAAGCTAAAGAAAGTGCTTCAAGAAGTGAGTATTCGCCCTGGCCGGTTTGGCTCAGCGGTTAGAGCGTCGACCTGCGGTCCGGAGAGACCCGGGTTCGGTTCCCGCTAAGGGCATGTACTTCGGTTTCAGTTTGTCCCCAGCCCTGGTTGGTCGTGCGGGTGGCAGCCACTCGATGTGTCCCTTCACATCGATGTTTCTGTCTCTCTCTCCCTTCCTCTCTCTCCCTCCCACTCTATCTGTACAAAAAATGGAAAAATAGGGTGAGGATAAAAATAAATAAATAAATAAGTGAGCATTCAACTGCGGAATGCTGCAAAAAAGTCTAGTAAAAAGTGGAAAGAATCCATTGCATTTCATCTCATGGAGATTACTAGTGACTTTAGTGAGAGACATTTCTGGACAGTGTATATCTAATGACAAATTGTAAAGTGATTCTGAGGTGAGGAAGTAGAGGTACTATCTAACCGTTAAAATCGTGAAGGGCACAGTGAGATGGGTGATAGATGGAGCCTTTCCAAGGAAAGTGATCCTGAACACCCAGGGGTAAAGAGAACAGTATATGTGAAGAGCTAAAAATTCAAACAAGGAGGGAACGCAGTCCTCACAATCCTTCAGTGCACCAGCACAATGGGGTAATCCTGAAAGTACCTAAACAGTGGGGCACATTGTGAGCATTCAATAATGTTAGGTGTTGGTGGTGTTGCTTGTTTAATAAACTCTCTTCATTAGACTGTAAGTGCCCCCAAGGAGGGCAGAGACCATGTCTGTTTAATCCAGGCCTAGGTTCTCAGGACCTAGCACAGTGCCTGGCACACAGTGGGCACTCAATAAATATTCTGAGGGCATTCAGAATTCTGAATACAATCTTAACTTTGTCTCCATCCTCTAATTCACTTTGGCCACTTGGATTGTCTCCATCCTCTAATTCATTTTGAGTTATTTTATTTATTAGATGACTGTCACTTAAGCATAAAGTGTTAACTATTGTAAGTATTATTGTCATTAAACCTTACTTCCCTATCAGACTGTTTCTTGACAGCAGAACTTAAATGGCTTATCACATGACCCGCTCAGTCTTGCGGGAAGTAAGGCCGAACAATAAAGAACCTAAATAAACGGCTTCTTACTAAAGAGCTGTGACAAGCATTCGCAGTGACTGCAAGGTCAACCAGCAAGCCCGCCACCCTAAGCGCTGAGATGCCAGCGGCTGCGCGGCACTCCTGGGCCGGGGCGCTGCAGCCTCCTGGAAGGGCCGCCCGGCCCCAGTCCCCGCCCTCCGCCCCGCCGTCACCTGCAGCGGCTGCACTCGGGCCTGCGCTCGGCTGGCTCCACCGGCAGCTCCCACAGCCCGTCGGCACTGGCCCGGTCCGCCTCCTCCTCCAGGGCAGCCGCCGCCGGCCCTGCGCCGCCCTCCCACCGCTCCTCCTCGATAGGCGTCGGAGACCTCGAGGCCGGCGGCCGCGCGACCGGGTCCCCGGGTGTTCGCGCCTCTTTCTGCGGGTCCATGGCAGGGACTCAGATCCGCCTGTCACACTGAAACCCCGCTGCCGCCAGGGGGCGCCACACGCTGGAGAATACGGCTCCCACTGCACAGCGCCACGCACGCACGCCACGTACGAGGGCGGGCCTTCGACGCTGTGCCCATGGTCCCGCCCCACAGCGGAGAAGGAATTAGCCCATTGGTCAAAGGCCAGTGGGCCCTTTCACCAGAACCAGGCCGGGAAGTGTGTGTTGTCCTGGGGAGCAGGTGAGGCTGTTAGTTTGCTGGGACAGTAAAGGCATCCCCTCGGAAAACGTCGCAGGTAGCAAGCCCACGTGAACCTTCCTTAAGTTCACTTCTCTAAAAGTGAAATGAGGTGTAATTCAGCATTGTCCGCCTTAGCGGAAGAATTGGCTGCGTGGGTGCGCACAGCAGTTGCAGCAGCTGATGGACGTGATAGCTGAAGGCCAACGGGAGAGGTTGTACTGGCTGGAAATTGGATTCACGCTGCCGGTTTCATGTGCATTTCTTGCTCCAGAATGGCAGGGACCTGTGTCCTGTATCTTGTACTTGGTATTTCTCCCCGCATCAAGCATATTATTTTACAGTGGACGCCAAATATTTGTTAATGAGGTTTTAAATTTTCCAAAGCCCCTAATAAGATCAGGAAACAATCGGAGGGCTGAGATTTATGGATAAGAGGGGGAAAAAAGCCATAGAAAGAGAACTACTTTGGCAAGTTTTTACAGCTCCTGGATAACAGCAGTATAGCCCGCAATTTCTTTAAACTCAAAATGAAATCCACCTTAGAATGAAAGCGGAAATTCTACTGGCCCAAAATGATGATGCTTCTTTTGATTTAATAATACTTTATGTTACTTCTACCAATAAAGTAAATTTACCACCAACAGTAGAGCAGTATTGTATGTTTTAAATATTTAAGTATTTCTTAAATATTTCACTATTAGTGTTTATTTCAGTAATCTTAAAATCAAGTTTGTGGATAGAATACACGGCTATTGTTTCCAATTATCTTGTATTCATTCCCTTCCCCTGCAAACAGCAGCCATCATTTCCTCTGGACTACTAGGAAGGGACAGATAGGAAAACGCTGAAACATTCACCAACTATGGTGGATGTAGGGTGCGAGAAAGAACTGGCACTTATGGTAGCTAGAATTGGGAGATAATCAAAACCCAGAGACCATAGAAGGGGAAATGAATCAGAAAATAAAGAAGTAATTAGCTGCAGATGTAGGTTGGAGAACCAACTCTTTAACTATTAAAATTAAATTCTCACGTGACCACCCTTCCAGAGGTGGGGGACCTTTATTCTGCCAACGGCCATTTGAATATTTATAACATCATTTGAGGGCCATACAGAATTATCAACTTAAAAATTTGCCTGATATATGTGGTCAGGCTAATTTGGTGAGGCATGTGATGTTAGCTGGCATTCATTTCTCGTGCCTTATAAAGCCCACAGGACATACGTTCCCACCCCTGGATCCTGGTCCCATGTATTCTAGTGGTAGCAGCAGAATCTTCACAGGTCAGAGAAACCAGGGATCTAGGGCACCACAAGAGTGGGGTTTTGAGGTCCCTCCTGGTGCCCGGGGCGCAACAGCAGAGTGCATGCTGCAGTGGTCAAAGTCATGGCAGGACAGGCGTTTAGAAAGTTTCTTCCCCTCTTTGACCGAGGCTTAGTTGAAAGGAGTGCTGCGGAAACTGTAACCAAAGGAGGCGTTATGCTTCCAGAAAAATCTCAAGGAGTATTGCAAACAACAGGAGTAGCTGTTGAATCAGGCTCCAAAGGAAAGGGTGGAGAGATTCAACCAGTTAGTGTGAAAGTTGGAGATAAAGTTCTTCTTCCAGAATATGGAGGCACCAAAGTAGTTCTAGATGACAAGAATTATTTCTTATTTAGAAATGATGATATTCTTGGAAAGCATGTAGACTGAAATAAACCACTGCTGAAATGGCATCATGTGAAGCTGCCCATTCCATTAAAGGTCTGAAATCTTTCATCATGTAAATAATTTCCGTGTCTTTTTAAAATAAACTAATGATACAAATAATTAATTCATTAATTAAAAAAAAAAAAAAAAAGAGTGAGGTTTTGATTGTCCTTTGTCCTCTTCCCAGTTAGGCGAAATCGTCCCTTTAGCAGTTTTTATTTACCCTAAAGGCATTTATCTTATCTCCTCCCCTAAACTCCTCCCCCTTCCCCTATCCCTCCACAGGCTTGATATTCTAATCAGTTTTTACCATTCCAACTCTCCTGAGACAAAGAAGAAGGAGTTAAACTCATTTCTAGTTTCAAGATGTGAAATGTTCTCTTAAGTCATTTATGGTCCCTCTGAACTCCCAACTATGAGGTATACAAGGCAGATGAGTCCTGACAAGCCTACTTTATTTTACTTTAACACCCCATGTCAGATCACTGGCTCTACCCTTGAAAGTATTCAAAGTCCAACCATTTATCACTTCTACTTCTGCCCTGGTTTAAGCCCCATCAGCTCTTGCCTAGAATTTTACCATAGGCACAGAAGTGCTCCCCTGCTCTATCCTTGCTTCTGTATAATCCATTTTCCCAGAAGTTGACATGAATCAAAGAAAACTCCCATTCAGGAGGGATATGTCCAAAACTGGGAGAGGAAAAAAATGTAGTTTTCCCCTGTGGAAAGCAAGAAATTCACCCAAAATTCAGGTTTATGAAAGCCTGAGGAAATGTATTCTTTATGAGAGGTTACCAGCCTTGGCAGACCCTGCTATAAGAATAAAGACCGTCATGACCCAACCTCTAGGAAATGCCAAGATACCAAGAAGGGGAGCAAAAGTTTATTTAAGGGATGTAACCAATTTATCAGTGCAGAAATGTTGCAAAATGATCTACAGAGATGTTAATTTATGTTTTGTTTATCTCCCAACTCCTAGAAAGTAATCAGACCATTATGATTGTTTGTCTCAGGAGAGTTGGAATGGTAAAAAAAAAAAAAATTATTAGAATATCAAGCCTGTGGGGGTTGGGAAGGTGTGGGGAGATTAGGGGAGTAGATGGATAAATGCCTTTGGAGTAAATGCAAAAATTGCTACAGGGACAATTTCTCCTAACTGGGACGAGGACAAGGGACAACTGAAATGCCACTCCCATGGTGCCCTAGACCCCAAGTTTCCCAGACTTGTGAAATCCTGCTGCTACCATTAGAATACATGGGACCAGGATGGCAGAGAGAGTGGCATCTCATTGGTAGCAAATGATAATAGAAGGTCCAAAGGGCCTCCCTTATGTTTTTGCTGTGAAAAATAATGTAAACAGAGTCATTTTTAATGGACTTGGAGCTGCCATCCCAGAGGAACTGCCTGCATATCTATTCCTCAAACTTTTGGAATGTTAAACTGGGCCATATAACCCCTGGACTGGGCTAAAGTAGCACTGTATCTCAAACAACTGTCTGCAAAGATAACAAGAAAGCAGATATTATGACTGTGGGACTAAAAATTAAAGACCTTTAGAATTAGCCTCATTATGTTAGTTTATCTGCACTTATAGAAATTCCTTCTATTCATGTAATTGTTCCCTTTGCCCTTCTCATAAATACCCTCCTAAAAGGTGTTAAGGCTTACACTGGCAATATAATTCCTAAGAGCCATTTTGCAAGCTTCCCAGCCCCAGGAGAACAAAGACCAAACTTCCCATCACAGAACTGGCCAGACAAGCAATGCAACCAGACACCAGGAACCAAAGAAGCACCCAATCAATTGCACATCCACATTACTGTAGACCTAATCCCCTGCCCAAACTCACCAACCAAGACTCCAAAACCCACTGACGGACAAAAGCTTCCCGCCATGGATGCATATAAGGATGAAACTCCAACCCCTAGGGTCTGCCATCATCAACCCAGTACCCCATGGCTCAGTGATGTACAGCCCTTCCCTTTGAATATCCCCATCCCCCAACCCCTTTTCTTCAAATAAACCCACTTTTTCTTTATTCACCATCTGAGATTGCTATTTAGCATGCCTGCACACCCAAACCACCGACTTTCACCTTTCAGTAGGTATGCTATTTAAGTTTCTGCCTAAGTCAGTGCTTCCTGAATAGTTATTGTTTTGAATCTCAAATAAATGTTTGTTGCCTTTTATTTGGGGGGTTAGTATGACAAATAGTAAGATCCTTGGGAACTTGCATGTCACTGAAAGAGGAAAGGGCCTTAATAGTGTGATATTAAATACCCTGCCAGCCCAACAGATGGGAGATTCAGCATTGGATAAACTTTGACTTAAATGAAATAGATACAACATTTCTTGCTGTATTAGTTTTTTATTGCTCTTCTAACAAATTTAGTGGCTTAAAAAAATACACATTTATTACCTTACAGTTCTGTATGTCAGGAATCTGACATAGGTCTCATAGGACTAAAATCTAGGAGGTGGCAGGCTACAATCCTTTGGAGGCTCTAAGGGAGAATCATTTTTCTTGCTAATCATTCAGGTTGTTGGCAGAATTCAGTTCCATGCTGTTGTTATTAACTTGCTAGTTATCAACAGAGGGTTGTTCCCAGCTTCTAGTGAGCACCCATGTTCCTTGACTAGTAGGGAAGCCAAACCGTTATCTTTATTAAACCTCTTAGGGTTCCTTTTGGCTGGGCCTGAGAATTAAATTGACATAATACAAATCAACAGAAGAAAAGCATACACGTTTATTTAACACAAGTTTTTCATGACATGGGAGCCTTCACAAGACATGAAGACCCAAAGAAATTGTGAAACGAATTCGCTTTTATATTAGAACAAAGAGAGGCAATTGTGGAAAGGTGATTCAACTATGTGGGCAGGCTAAAGGAAGATAAGAATTGTTTTAACAAGGTCTGTTTGTATAGAATTCTCCATGATCTCAACTTCCTGTCCTCGATGATTAGAATGTATTTTTCTTACGTATGGGAAGGACATCTTTCATATAGGTATTTCATCTCCTGCTTTTAAGAAAAACAAGGAAGATCAAAGTGTTTTTTCTTTTTTTTTTTTTATCCTCACCCGAGGACATTTTTTTATTTTTTGTTCAGATAGAGTGGAAGGAAGAGAGAGAGAAACATCGACATGAAAGGGACACATCGAGTGGCTGCCACCCGCACGACCCAACCAGGGCCGGGGACAAACTGCAACCGAGGTACGTGCCCTTAGCGGGAACCGAACCCGGGTCTCTCAGGACCGCAGGCTGACGCTCTAACCGCTGAGCCAAACCGGCCAGGGCGTTTTTTCTTATATTTGCTGTTTTTCAAGAGCCTTTAACACAAAACAGTCAATATGCCAGAGCAGCATATATTTGGGATGGCATGTTCTAAACTCCTGGCTCAGGGTCCTCATGCTACATCATCAAAGCCAGGTTGAGTCTCTGTCATGATTCAAATCTCTCCTGCCTCTTCCTCATGGTCACATCTCTCTGATTTTCTTTCCTGCTTCCATATCCACCCAAGTAATCCAGGATAATCTCCCTATTTTGTTAACTGATTAGCAACCTAATTCCATCTGCAACCTTAATTCCCTTTTGCTATGTAAAGTAACACAGCCATAGGCATAATACTAGGGCATGCAGATCAGGAGGGCAAAAATCTTCCCTTCCACATTTGCACTTCTAAAGTTAAGGCTGCAAATTCATACAAACTTCATATGAAAAAATGTAAATATATATGCCAAAAATATTATTGATATTTATATCAAGGTGCTGGGGTTAGAGGTCTCTCAGGAAGTATGCTTTTTTTCCTGTATATTACAAATGTTCTGCACAATGACCATGTGAACCTCATTTTTATTTATTTATTTTTATTTTATTAATTTTTCTAGAGACAGAGGAAGGGAGAGATTGAAACATCAGTGTGAGAGAGAAGCAAGAATCAGCTGCCTCCTGCACAAGCCCTACTGGGAACTGATTCCACAACCAGGCATGTGCCCTGACCAGGAATCGAACCAGGACCTCTCAGTCCATGGGACAATGCTCAATCCACTGAGCCACACTGGCCGGGCTGAACCTCATTTTTAGAAAGAAGAATGTGGAACATTGACAACTAGACATCAAAACCTAAAATGTTCTAAAATGTCAAGTAATATAAGAAGAAAATGGTTTCCTTAGGCTACCTTTTCTTAAGAATATATTTCTGATCTTTTTTTTTTTTTTTTATGTGAATTGGTAGTGAGTGCAGTGATCCTCATATTTATTGCATGTTCCCTAAGCACATCTGTAATGATTAGTTTGACATAAATTGTTCTTAAATGACCTAGTTGATGATGAAGAGGTGATGGCCTCTCCCCCAACCCCTACGCCCTGGACCTGTTGCTGCTCCCTCTAACTCCAGTGAAGGAGTTGACATTCTTTTTCTCAGAGCAGGGCCTTCCCTCACAATTCACGCCTTTCACCCAGCTTGTCCCCAGGTCACCTGCACCATTTCTTCATTAGTTATACCTTTGGTAGAATACCTTTTTTTTTTTTTTCTTTCCTTAAGTTTCTTGATACCAACTCTATATAAAAATGTCCTTGTTTTTTTTCTGCCTGGGTTTGCTCAAGGATGTATCTAGTTTTTATATTTCCTGGCTGTGCAGTTTTGCTTTCATATTTTCTTTAAAATTCTAGGTTTAATTACTTGGAAATTTATTATCTCTACATATATAATTTTGAACCTCTACTCACATGATTATTTTTTAAAGCTTCTTCTTTGCTTAGATTTGTTTGTTTTACGAATTGGTTTTGTAACAGGAGACACTCATTTTTACATTTTGACTTGAATATCCATTCTGAGAGTTAAATAATTAAAATTTAAAAATACAATTCAGACAACTGGCAAATTTTTTAATTTAACTATTTGAATGAAACAAAAATTAACTCCATTATTAGAAACAACAAATTTTGGAGCAGGAAGGGAAATTAAAGATCATCTGACACGTACTTCTCCAACCTGGTTTA